TCTGCAGGATTATGTTTGTCAAACATAACTTCAACCTCAACCAACTGTTCATTGATGTCGCTTTCTCTAAATATTGATGTTTACACTTGAAATCTTACCCCCTTTCAAAACCACTCAACAGCAAAAACTCCGAGTGAAAACAACACAGATGAGCAAGTAATGGACGAGAAAAAACCAGATTAAGAGGACAAGTCCCTGGAAATGTTGAAAAGTTGAATCAACAAAATTGAGAAACACAGAGCAACAGGCGCCCCCCAAAGACCCCCGCTTAACTATTTCCCTCCTCCCCCCCCCCCCCCCCCGGCAGGACCACAAAAATGAGGATGAATCAAAAGGCCGGATCTCTGCGCCTCCCCTTCAACTTGGCGAGACTCTCATAGGTGTCGAGCACAAAGAAGGAGGGCCGCGCCATGCGCGTGATCCACAGCGCAAGCGGCTCCGAATGAATCGGCCTCAATCAATGCCCCTTTGGTGACCAGGGGCCATGACTAAAATGGCTGCCAAACCAGAAAAGCCAAAAGGTAAAAAGCTCGGCTTTGAAAATTGGCTGAAGGTGAGTCCAACATTTGCCCCCCAAGCAAAGAAACTCAGCTAAAAGTAGCACCCTGGTCATGTTTAATGCCACTGTTGGGGAAATGCAGGGACCCCTGTATCACTGCTGCAGAAGCGCCTTGCGTGCCCGAATGTTGGGTCACCCGTTGCATGGGTTTGATCACAAGTGGGTTCCTTTCGGACGCGGAAAAAACATGGTCCTTCGGAACCCTTTTATTAGAGCCCGTTGCACGAGTTCCATGTGAAGTCCTTGATTTTTGTGACACGTGACACCATGTCCAAGTTGGATCTCTAAAAAACAAAAGGTCATTCCCCAAAATGCATCAGAAGGCCCCGCTTCATGAATCGCGTTGGCATCCTTCCCCTTCCAGTCTTTGGCAAAGGGGAACGGCGTGTTTTTTCAGGGGAAAGACCTCAAGCTAACTGTCCTAACTTAGCCTCTTTCCAACAATCATGGAAGTGGACCAAGGGGTTGCCCAAAAGGGAAAAAGTCGTCTTTCAAAACCCTGTCAGCTTCCATTTGTTGGAGGGCTTTGGTAGCACCGTGTCTCATCATGATCACGGGACCCCACTCGCAGGCCTCGCCTGTTGAAAGGCTTCATCCGCTCCTCTCGGAAGCTGAGGATGCAGGGAAAGCTGGAGGTGTAGCGACGGCAGAGCTCTGCCTGCGTTGGGAAACGCGACACCAAGGGAGTATCGAACTGAGAAAACCACGGGGGTGGGATGACCACCAATGTTTACCAGAGCTTCATCTAAATTGGGCTTCAAGGTCATGAGATTCATGGGGGGTGAGCAAGGGGGCTACCTGAAAACTCGACCTAAATTGGCTCCCAAAGCCATGTGTCCGATGCCCAAAGCCTTTAGCTTCGGGAACATCGGCATGTTCAGGTTCGACCTTCGTCGCGCGGCCAAGCAGAAACCCACATTAAACCGATCCGATGCGCCTCCTCAGAGCAGTCTACCAGAAAGAAGCGGATCGGCCGGAAGAACAGGACATCGCCTTCGAAAAGTCAGGGGCGATTTTCTCGAATTGTCCATTGCACCAAGCCCAAACGGGACTTTGAGGGGGAAACCTACTGGAGGCCTTGTCAACAGGCAACCTTGCTATCCGCGTAAGACGGCAAGTGGCCGCACTAGAGATGGAGCCATATGTTTGCCCCGTGAAGCTGCCGCAAAGTCTGTCACAGACCCACACTGCAATCGACTTCCGCAAATGTTGTGTTTGTGTTGAGGGTGGTTTTTGAGGACGGCTTGAAGGAACACCCATATGAAACCCACCTTTTTTTGGGCCTATTTTGACACATACCGTACATGTTTCTTTGTTCAAGTTGCCGTTGCTGTGTCAGATGTTGAGGGAACCACATTGGCATCGCCTCCACGGTCATCGTTTGGGGGGAGGACACGTCGTCCTATCACATGCCTTTGCTGCGGTGATGCTGGGGTCCCGTCGCTGCGAAAGAGTATGCTATCTCTGTTTGATGTGGCATCGTCCCTGGCTCTGTGGGTTGCGAAGGGGGGCCCGTGTCAAACGACTACATGTTTTGTGTTATAGGTATTCTTGCTTGGAAACTGGGAAAAACAAATTGCAAACCCCAAAACGAGACACCGTCCAAAGCCCATACTGCTGTCAAGCGGCCTGATCTGAGCCCTTCTTCGATCCTGGCCATGTGTCAGCGAACTCGTTTGTGCGCGCTGTGAAGGGAGATAAGTGGATAAACCCATCAAGGCGAAGGTGCAAAGTTGATGAAAACAAAGTCGGATAACCACCATTTGGTTAAGCCCTCTGCAAAACAAATACAAATGTACATGGATCTCTCCCCCCCGGAATACTCAGGTTTTTGGCCAGAAATTGACATTTTGGCTGTAAACATGAATGCAAAACGGCTTCTAAAAATGAGGCTCTAACAACGCACTCCTTTTGTAGACTTGAATTCTGCCATCGGCACCTAGTGCAATCCAGGATGTGCTAGCATGTGCTAGCACATCCTGGATCGAAGATTGAAGATATTCGAACAATTATTTTCGGGAATCTTCAAATCTGTACTTGGGGCAATCCAGGGTGCGCACGTGCTAGCACATCCTGGATTGGTAGCACATCCTGGATTGAAGATTAAAGATTGAAGATTCTCCGACAACTCTGTCTGTGGATTCTTCAATCCTCAATCCAGGCATTAGTTTGTCCTAAGGATGCATTTGAAGATTTCCAGAACAGTGGTCTGAGAATCTTCAATCTTCAATCCTGGATGTGCTAGCACGTGCTAGCACATCCTGGATTGCCCTAAGTACACATTTGAAGAATTCCATAAAGAGTTGTTCGAAAATCCTCAATCTTCAGCCCATGATGTTCTATCACGGGCCACGTCCTGGATTGCCCTAAGTACGAATTTGAAGAATCCCAAAAGCAGACAGGGAGTGCACGTTGACAGAATCAAATTGTTGATGTGCACTTGCACTGCCTGCATTTGGCCAGGGGGAAGCATCTTGTTTGAAAGCTTTGCAGTTTGTTAGTGGACTTGAGGGCTGGCCAGGATGGAAGATTCTCAAATACAAAATCTGGTAGATCTTCAATCTTCAATGCAGGGGGCAAACCTTAATGAGTCTAGAACAAACTGTCAAACTTTTGGGGGGCCAGGATTGAGGATGTTCTAGACATATGTTTGTGCAATCTTGTACATTCTATCTTCGATCCGATCTGAGCAAATGCTGAAAAACACCGCGTTTTACAGCATTTATGCCAAGAATAAAATATATGATTGAAAACACGTTTCTGTCGTTGGCTTGGCTCAGTTCTTGCTTGGTTAAACCCACCCACATGGAGTTAGATGAGGACGACAACCCTTTTGAAAATGTACGTATGTATGTATGTATGAATGCATGTATGTACGTATGTATGTACGTATGGCTGTATGTATGTATGCATGTATGTACGTATGTATGTACGTATGTATGTATGCATGCATATACGAATGTATGTATGTATGCATGCATGCATACATGTAGGTATGTATGTATGAATGCATGCGTGTACGCATGTCGCATGCATGTATGTACGTATGTTTGTACGTATGTATGTATGTATGTATGTATGTATGCATGCATATATGTATGTACGTATGTATGTATGTATGCATGCATGCATGTAGGTATGTATGTACGTATGTGTGTATGCATGCATGTATGTACGTTTGTATGTACGCATGGCTGTATGTATGTATGCATGTATGTACGTATGTATGTACGTATGTATGTATGTATGCATGTATGTACGTAAGTATGTACGTATGTATGTATGCATGCACGTAGGTATGTATGTACGTATGTATGTATGCATGTATATACGTATGTATGTACGCATGTATGTATGCATGCATGTATGTACTTTTTTATGTTCATATGTATGTACGTATGTATGTATGCATGTATATGCGTATGTATGTACGTGCGTATGTATGCATGCATGCATGCATGTAGGTATGTATGTACGTATGTATGTATGAATGCATGTATGTACGTATGTATGTACGTATGGCTGTATGTATGTATGCATGTAGGTACGTATGTATGTACGTATGTATGTATGCATGTATGTACGTATGTATGTACTTATGTATGTATAAATGCGTGCGTGCATGTAGGTATGTATGTACGTATGTATGTATGCATGCATGCGTGTACGTATGTATGTACGTATGGCTGTATGTATGTATGCATGTATGTACGTATGTATGCACGTATGTATGTATGTATGCATGTATTTACGTATGTATGTACGTATGTATGCAGGCATGCATGCATGTAGGTATGTATGTATGTATGTATGTGCGTATGTATGTATGCATGTATGTACGTATGTCGTATGGCTGTATGTATGCATGCATGCATGTACGTATGTATGTACGTATGGCTGTAGTATGTATGCATGTATGGACGTATGTATGTACGTATGGCTGTATGTATGTATGCATGCATGTACGTATGTACGTACGTATCTATGCATGCATGCTTGCATGCATGTAGGTATGTATGTCCGTATGTATGTATGCATGTATGTACGTATGCATGCACGTCTGTATGTATGTATGCATGCATGTATGTACGTATGTATGTACGTATGGCTGTATGTATGTATGTATGCATGTATGTACGTATTTATGTACGTATGTATGTATGCATGTATATACGTACGTATGTACGTACGTATGTATGCACGCATGCATACATGTAGGTATGTATGTACGTCTGTGTGTATGCATGCATGTACGTACGTTTGTACGTATGGCTGTATGTATGCATGCATGCATGTACGTATGTGTATGTATGTACGTATGGCTGCATGTATGTATGCATGTATATACGTATGTATGTACGTATGGCTGTAGGTATGTATGCATGCATGTAGGTATGCATGTACGTATGTATGTATGCATGCATGTATGTACGTATGTATGTACGTATGGCTGTATGTATGTATGTATGCATGTATGTGCGTATGTATGTACGTATGTATGCATGTATATTCGTATGTATGTACGTATGTATGCATGCATGCGTGCATGCATGTAGGTATGTATGTACGTATGTATGTATGCATGCATGCATGCATGTAGGTATGTATGTACGTATGTATGTATGCATGCATGCATGCATGTAGGTATGTATGTACGTATGTATGTATGCATGTACGTACGTATGTATGCATGCATGTAGGTGTATGGATGTACGTATGTATGTATGCATGCATGTATGTACGTATGTATGTACGTGCGTATGTATGCATGCATGTATGTGCGTATGTATGTATGTATGTATGTATGCATGTATATACGTATGTATGTACGTATGCATGTATGCATGCATGCATGTAGGTATGTATGTACGTATGTATGCATGCATGCATGTAGGTATGTATGTACGTATGTATGTATGTATGCATGGGTGTAGGTATGTATGTACGTATGTATGTATACATGCATGCGTGCATGTAGGTATGTATGTACGTATGTATGTATGTATGCATGCATGCATGTAGGTATGTATGTCCGTATGTATGTACGTATGTATGTATGCATACATGCATGCATGTAGGTATTTATGTACGTATGTATGCATGCATGCATGTAGGTATGTACGTATGTATGTATGTATGCATGCATGTAGGCATGTATGTACGCATGTATGTATACATGCATGCGTGCATGTAGGTATGTATGTACGTATGTATGTATGCATGCATGCATGTAGGTATGTATGTACGTATGTATGTATGCATGCATGTACGTATGTATGTACGTATGGCTGTATGTATGTATGCATGCATGTAGGTGTATGGATGTACGTATGTATGTATGCATGCATGTATGTACGTATGTACGTGCGTATGTATGCATGCATGTATGTGCGTATGTATGTACGTATGTATGTATGCATGTATATACGTATGTATGTACGTATGATGCATGTATGCATGCATGCATGTAGGTATGTATGTACGTATGTATGCATGCATGTAGGTATGTATGTACGTATGTATGTATGTATGAATGCATGTAGGTATGTATGTACGTATGGCTGTATGAATGTATGCGTGCATGTACGTATGTATGTACGTATGGCTGTATGCATGTATGCATGTATGTACGTATGTATTTATTTCCATGATGCATCTTCAGGCCCCGGTTTTGGCAAACCGGCCGCGCCCAGCCGGATCGCGCCTGGACTTGGCCTGGCGGAAGTCCGGCAAGGCCTCGCCATCGAGGTGGAAGAGAACGATCGCCTGGGCTCGGTTGGAAGCCCTGAGAAAGCCCCAAACCTCGGCTGGATGGTAACAGCCAGCCTCTGGTCACTTTAGCGAAACCCCAACTCAGCTTCCCTCAGATTGGGGCTCAAACCTTGGTTGGACACGGCCAACCTCGGTTCCTTAGGGAAACCCAAAATCAGCTGCCCCTCAGATTGGGTCTGGAGGTCTGGGTAGCTGCCCAGGAAACCCTCAACAGTAGCCAGGCGTCCCACCCAAATCCAAACCACCAACTGCCTACTTGCTTTGAGGGAGGGAACCAATGACCTACAAAACAGGGTTCAGTACGTGGCCATTCCATGTGAACCAAGGTTTTGGCCATTTGCCCCTTCTGGCTCGAAAAATAGGGAACCACCCCCTTCCCAAAGGACTACTTTCTCCATCTCCAAATCCGCAAGTAAATAAAGCCCTCTTGCGGGATGATTATCTGACCAATGTTTGGGCCATGGATTGAAGTGCTGACAGGTGAGAATCCTTTTGAGGGGTTTGAATCTATATGTGCGGGGCCCCGGAAAAAAATCTCCAGTCGGATGGTTTACAGGAGGTAACAGAAACCAGCAGGGAGACCTCTTGGTTTTTCGAGCCACCCCCATCTTTCGTTCCTGCGAGTATGAATGGGTGCAAAACCCAATGTTTCGCTCACGCAAAGCCCCCCACTTGCCTTTCTGGCAGCCTGACAGGGAAACATCTGGAAAAATCGGCGGAGCTTCGACCAAGGCCCAGGCTCCATAGGCGGCTTCGCTGCGGTTCACCGACTTCACCACCTCCAAGCCACACCCTTTAAATGGACCCGAGAAAACCCGTGTGTGGGGTTGTCCCACCCACCTGGTTTGTTTTGGCACACCAAGAGGACCAAAAAAGAAATACCAGCGGTTTGTTTTTTTGCACACCAAGAGGACCCCAGAAAAATGGAGCTCGGAAAAAAAAGATCTTTGTGGTTGGAAAAAAACAGGTCCCGACTCACTCCAGTGGAGCCGACTCATGGATTATCTGGAGAAGTGAGAAATGTTTCTTTCCGAACTGGTCCAAAAAAGTCTGAAGTCGTCGAGTGAGTACCCCAAGCTGCATCCGCCTCCCGTTGTTTTCTGCGTGGACTGTGCTCAAGCTCTTGGGTCAAAGGCATGGCATCAAAAAGCTGCGCGAGTGGAAGCGCGAGTGGAAGCCTGCACCGCATACAGCATACAGCTGACATTTTGAGGGCTTGAAGATCTAAGAACACCTTCTTTACAAGGGGGTGCTCTAAACCAACTGGAACAAGTTGTTGTTTACCTGTCCCATAGCCTTTTTACAGGACCTGAATATGTGTTGACGCTCGTGTGTGACGTGTTTGTGTACCGTGCTTTTGTGTCAAACACCGTCATGTTCAAAGGCAAGCTCTGACTTCAAGCATCGAACAGCCCCAAAAAGCGTCTGTCAAATTGGCATAAAAAACTGCGCTCTTGCCTTCTCTTCGAAGGCTGCAGCCTGACCGAAGGCAATGCCCAGGAACCGGAGGGGATCTACGGGATATTCAGCAACTGGCCACTATATAAAGGGTATACGGTATAGACTAGAGTACACCCCATTTTAGGGTAGTAGTTTCGGTTGGAAACACCTGCTTGGATAGAACAACTGACCTTTGGGCGGGTATGTGTGGACCTCAGTTTGTGATCTTGAAACACTTACTCTGTGCGCAAAACGGGGGTCCGCCTCTTTTGTGTTGGTACCCCTTTTAGGAGTTCTGTTTAAAGACAAACCTAACCCCGCGGATCCATTTACCTCTATAGTAGGTAGCCAAGGGAACCACACGTTAAAAACAAATTGGACAATTGCTGTTTAGCTACTATAGGCTAAACCAAGTTTGGAGATAGGCGCATGTGCTTGGAGGAAGAGGTCCTGAGAGTGTGCTTGCTCCACGCAAGCCGCCCGAGTTCCTTGGGGCTCACCATGAGCCAGCAAAAGCACTGGTCCTAACTATGTTACTGATATCAAGCATTGAATGACAATTGGCGTATTGAAGCCTTCACATGGCCGTGTTTCTTGAGGGCAACACCTTCGGTTATTTCACAGCGAACGCACATTTGTTTGGGGTGAGTGGCAGTTCCCATCCGGCGGTTGTTCCCACTGTTCGCCATAAAGACCAGCCCCCTTTGACACATGGGGGGTTGATCAAAAGGTCCATGTAAAATGGGCCGACCATTGGGGAAAACCGCTAAAAATATGCTCTTGTCCACAACAAGAAAACATTCCCTGGTCATTTGGGGGCCGAACGGAATATTGATCAACCCCCACATATCCACTTTGGAGCCATCCCACCGTCAAGTTCTCGATATCCACCGGAGGCGGCGGCGCGGGCGCAAAGCCTCGGCTGATTTCAGGGATATGTGGGGTGACCCGAAATGGACGTCTTCTAGGTGGAGATTCAGAGATCGGCCACGAACCACTGTTGAGGCAGCTCCCTTCTTTTAAAGAAAACACACAAAAAACAGACTAGAATCATATATAGCCTTTATCTGGATGGACACCTGGTAGAACTCCTGCCTTGGGTTCAAGAAAGAACTGCTTAGGGTGGCCTGATTGGAACCGGGGGAACCGAAAGAAAATCAGACTTCAAACACCTGCGAAACCCGCGGTGCGGGACCTCCGTAAGGTGGTGGATCCCCTGTGGGTTTCAAAGGAAAACCAACGTGATCCACTTCAATCCTGTGGGTGACTCTTATGGATTTGGTCGTTTGTGTTCTTAGTCATTCATGTCATCCCTTACCCCCGCCCCCACCCCTAACCCCGCCGGCTTCCCTCGGATTCCTCCAACTAAGGCCTTATTAGAGTTGTTGCTCGGGCTGAAATCGGGGAAGGCTTGGATTCCTTTTAATTCTGCGCAATGCGTTTCATTCATGCCGGCAACTTCGGTCCCCGCCCCTCCGCCGGGAAAAACAGAAGCAACAAAAACGAAACCCACAGGTCCCTGCAAATCCCACAAAGCAAAACAACAAACATTAAAGAACACACAAAACAACCAACAGGACACTACACCAATGCAAAGCCCTGCACAAATCCCACAGTTTTTTTGCAGATGGGTCGCTGCCAATCTCCACCGCACCTGCACAAAAACAAAAAAACAGCGCACGCGGCTGGCCGGAAAATCACTCGGGGAGTCCCTTGGTATCATGACTGTGTCTTTTTTTAAGAGATGCCGGAGGGTCCCCTAAAAAGAGGGGGAAACGCCCACATTTTATCCACCAGCGTGGCACTTCTTCAGTGCAAACGCCGCCCCCAGTGGCCCCAGTGGCCCCAGTGAGGCATGCGGAGACACCGACTGGACCACAGGAACCGGCTGCACCGGAGAACGCCGTCCCCGTGAGGTGATCACTTGATCACTTGTAAGGGGCTGATTCCTGGGCATCCCCCAACAAAACATGGCACAAATTCTTTTTTTTTTCACCGATCACTTTAAAGGGGTTTGTTTTTGGTATCCCCCGAGAGAACGTGGCCACAACTTCCTTTTTTTTCTTCACCATGTTCAAAATACCCACTGATGGTATCCTTTTGGTTTCCCGAGAGACCCATCCCAAAAAGGCTACTCTCAAAGAATCGCACGCCGTGCACGATTGCGCCGGTACCGTTTCGTTCCATCCCACAAGGGGCCCATCTCTCACACCATGCGCTTTCGTTGGGCTCAAGGACGTGTCAACGGAGCTTTTCGACCCGCGGGAAAATGGCCGCCCAAAAGGGAACCCAGCAAGTTCATGTTGACCCCAGACTAATAAACACCTTTTTTTCATATTAGGTAGTCTTGCCCTCCAAAAGTAATGAATCCCCAGAAGCAGAAACACCCCCTGGATTAAACAGGGGTTAATTTCTCCGGGGTCAACAACTGTCAAAGGTCGATGCGCTTCGTAGATGGCATGACGTTGGGTTAGGGGAGCCAAAATTCTCAAATTTCAGCAGTTAAGTGGGGAATTCAACCACTAAACCACAACAAGCAAAAATGTTAAATGCTTCCCAACAACAAACATGTCGCAGATGGCATGGTCCAAATTCAATTCGGTCGCCTGCAAGCCGCCATGCCAATGCCAGCGCGAGCATTGGCCATTGCGGGCTGCCCGCCCGATGCTCAATCGGCAGCTTTGGCTCTGGGTGCCCGTTTGGAGAAGTAGATGGCACCGGCAAAACAAACCATGCTGAAACCACGGAACCCAGCTTTCAATCAAACTGACAGGACATGTATGATACATGCCAGCTCGCTTCTCCGAAGGCTTTGTTGGAAGCAAGGCACTCATAGCTTCGACTTCACTCATTCAAGTTCAAGGCGGTGTGTCGAAGCTGGAGAACACTCCAAATCGTCGTATGTTTGGCTTCTGTTCAAAGGCGCAAAGGGTGCCTCTGGGCATATTGGTCAAAAGCGGAACCTGGCAAAACGGTGGTTTTCCTGTTGGCCTCTTTTACCAAAGTGAGGGTACTTCGAACAAAAAAAACACAAAAGCATACACATGTTCTGGTTTTGACGCATACCCAGTAGCCAAGTTCTGTGTGGATGCTCACGGTCATTGGTTTTGCCTCTCCTTTCCGGCAGCTCGGTCTCACTTGAACCTAATGGCCACTCAGGGAAAGGGACGTGTGCAAACTCTGCGAAGCGACTTTCCTTTGCTGCTTGAAAGCAGCTCAGATTTAACCAAGCATCTAATCAAAGTACTAACTATTGACCGCCATGCCTGGATCACCCATTCTCGCGCCCGAGGCAAATATGCAGAGCCGCACGCCAAACACCGCGATCCCGTCCGTCCGAAAAAGGAAACCGCCTGGCGGGCACTGAAGCACCTCGGAAATGTCGCATGCGGAGTCGAGTCCCTTCTCGGCTTCTCTTTCCTCCCGAACTGGAGCCTTGAGACTTGGGAGGCCAGCACGAACAAAGAAACAAAAACCAGACGTGAGTCACAATCAAAACCCGGTTCACCCGGAACCATGCTTCAGGAAATTTCAGGAAATACGAAGGCGGATATCCGCAACTATGTATGGCTGGGATTGCCTTGCTAACCTTCCTCAATCCCCGCATTTTGAGCACGTGGCTCGCTCACGTTTGCCCGCATGACTTTCCGGTGGAAAAACCGCGCGACGAGTTTGCTGGGCGCCCTGCAGGCACTCATCTTCCGCCGCTCCTGATGGTATAAACGCGAAAACCAGAGGCACCCGACCGATTTTTGGGGCTCCTTTCAGGCGAAAAGGGGCTTCTGGACGCAAAGAACAGGGGAAACCAAAAGAGGCTTCTGGAAACAAAGAACGATGGCATATACACATGCTTCAACAAGGAGTTGGGCTAGTCGGCGAAGTGGTTGGGCCCATCGCTTCCTGCCAACAAGTGCAACCCTGGTCACAAATGCATAAAAGCAGGAGTCTCAAGCTACTCCCGCTGCGCCGAACTGATCTATACGGTTTCCACGTGTGTCACATCAATGCCTCCATTGCCTTCGAATTTGTTTTGTGCTGCTTGCGCTTCCTGCAATCAAGCACAAAACAAGAGAGAAGACTCCAACTGCAAAGCGCTGCGGCTTGAAGGCTTGAAGCGGCTGATCTCTTGGGAGAAACCTTTGGGGAACTCCATGTGAACGTGCTTCCGCTGGGCTGTCCTCAGATCCCCTAAACAACTAAGCTTTAGTGGGTGAAATGGACACTTCCCCACTGAAAGCAAGTAAAAACAACTAAAAAGCTAAGGGACCGGATGCATGGCCTTCTCAACTAGCCAATTCTCCGTTTTTGTAAATAGATGGAACTGGTTTAGCCAACTCCCCGTTTTTTGTGCTTTTTTTTGATGGCCCTGGTTTCTTTGAATAGAATGAGCAGGAACCAAACTCCACACGAACCCGATGGAACGACCCTAACTCCAAAGGGTGCTTGGTGCTAACTCCAGGCTGTTCAGGGACTCTCTGCTTCAAACTCACAGGCTGAAAGTCGCAAACACCCTGGATCAAACGCCTCTACAGGATGTGGCAGGTAAGACGACAGGTCCGGCAAAATTGGTGCTAACTAAACGGAGAGGTAATTACAAGTAGTGTGCACAGAGACCAGGCTTCCCCTCATGACTGCATGGGCAAGGGCATATGTGACCCTTGCCGCGAAGGCAAGCTTGTGTTCCAGATTCAGGGCCGCACCTTCGTTCAATCAGTCCCTGAATTCACACTTGGCACCACATTTTCGTCCGCGCTGTGTGCCGTGGTCAAAGGTCCCTAGTGGTCGCGATTCTCCGAGGAATCTTCAAATGTCCAGGGGTACCTTCCCCATTCTTTCCAGGCATCCTTCTTTCTCAAAAACCACCCAAAACCCTGGGGGAAACAGCTGGTCTTTGAAAAGAACCATGATTGAAAAGAATGGAAAAGGAATCAATCCCTAGAAAATGGTGGTCCAAACTCTAACCGTCAATACCCCGAAGCAGGCTTTTCACCATGGCACATACTGTGCGCTTGACTCTTCGGGCTGTGCTGACCCGCAGGAGCTGTGAGCCCTGCGCTTGCTGGTCCTTTGCCAGGTCGAATAGACCACTGTCAAGGTTTTCGGTTCCCGACCTGCTTTGGGTTTTGGAGCCCATACGCCAAAAGGCAAAATGCTGGACTAACTAGGCGTATTGAAGCGAACAAGGTTTATTCCAAAAGCAGGATTGGAACGGGCTTTAGCTGCAATACGTTTGGGGTCAGCAAAACCTGGATCCCATGGATAGTGAACCTTGAAGCATTCTATTCCAACGGCTACAGTGACCAGTGCTTGAACATCCATCAAGCGCTGTGCTTTGCCGCTTCGCTCATCGCCGGAACTTTGCCACCATCTTTTGGCTCGCCGGTGTGGCGAACATCTCCAGCCTTAGGACAGTCTGGCTGGATGAAGGTTTCCGGATGTTTCCGGGATGAGTGGCTGTTTTGTGGAAAAGGATTGGATCCCTGGATCTCATTGGAATGAGGAAGACACATAGATTTCACGTTCCCTCCTGTACCAAATCCTCGATTCCAGATGAATACTGGCGTGAACCACTGAACGACTGGCAAAGAACTGTGCCCATCCATGGTCCCTGCTTGAACATAGATGGCACTGCAGGATTGGACACCACATCATGGTTTGTTTGGACACATGGCAGAAAAAAAAAAACACCTTTGTTGCAATAACAAACTGTGCTCTTCTGGGCTCTTCTGCAGTATCGCCCTCTGGCAATACCTTGCCTCTTCACTTTAGTCATAATAATATTTAACCAACAAAACAAACACTTTGGGTGTTAAATATGTCTACCCAAAACCACGTGCACGCGGGCTGCACCGCTCTTCTCGCCCCTCCGACCGATTCGTTGGGTTTTGAGTAGCTCACCTGCCGAGTCACATTGCGGGCTGCGCGACCTGAAAGCGCTCCTCCAATGTGGACTTGGAAGCCTGCTCGTTGAGGACTTGCTTCCCTGGCAAAAGGTATGGGGTACCTCATCAAAATAAACAAGGATCAACAAAAACAACTATTAAAGGTTTGGCCGGAACTGAAAATCAGCTATAAAGGCGCTCTTTTGTCTGAGACCAGCGTGGGAGTTCAACTTGAGCGACCCTCTCCCAAATAGAGATCTCACTTTCCAGCTTTTACTTGGATGCCCGGCTGATTCGTGAATCACGGTTCGGCTCAGGCTTCACGACAAAGCTCGCAAAGCTGAAACCAAGCCCATGCTAGAACAATCCTCCTGGCCCGAACCAGAACATCACTGAGAGAGCAAGCTTGTATCTGAAGGCTAAATCTACCAAGAGCATTCATGCTAATTATCTTGCAACAAAAGCTGAGCATTGCTTCTCTCTGAGCTTGCTCGCAAAAGACTTGCAAGCAATCCCTGTGAAAGCACAAGGCGGGATTTTCTTCTCGCAACCTTCTGAGAGAAAACGAGTCGCGACCCTCATCTACTCGGCCTTTCTGGATCTGCTCCGGATCGAAGGATGCAATCCTTTCAGCCAGTTTCCGCGCCTGTCGAAAGGACAGAGATCCATCTGGACACGGGTGTGTCTTTTTGTGAGTGCACCGTGGGTTGACTTGAAGGCACACCGACAGCAAGCTACGCATGTTGAAATTTGCCCCAAGAGACAAATGACAACACTCGCAAGCACGAGTGGAGGCGCCCATTGACATGCATGCCTGCGCCACATGCAAACCCAACTCTGCGGATCCAAATGGGAGCCAGAAGAAGGGTCTGAATGACATGGGATTCAATCAGCTACACCTGTGGTGTGGTTTGGAGCCCGGTGGCTTGGTTCGTGATGGTTTCCCAGTTGCCCTACAAGAACCGGGGGTTCAAATCCAAATCCGAACCAAACGTGCCAAGGTGTCACGCTGATTTAAGGCGATTGAGTCAAGAAAAAAGAACGGCGCCAGCGCCAAATGCGACGGCCAGCGCCTCGCTCGCTAGCTTCACCCGAGGCAGCACTTGGCTCACCAAGCCTGGCTCTGCGAGCCACGGACCCATCCGGGCGATCCCGGCCGACGGAACCTGCTTAGCCTTGGCGGAACCTCAAGCTCCCAAACAGGCGGCATGCAAGCCGATTGTGTCCTTGCGGCCAATGGCACAGCATTGGGGCGGATCCTCACCTTCTGGTGAATTAGGAGGTTAGGGAGAGGCTTCCCATTTACCCTCAACAAGTCCCGGGGCTTCACCAACCCACGCCACTTGGGACTCACCAGATTCTTCAACCATATCAGTGCCAAACATCTTCAAAGGGAAGCCCAAAGTACGCCAAGCTCTTTCAGCTGCAGGAACCACCCCCAACAGCTTATGGCTGCCCTTGCCTAGCCGCTCGGCTCGGACTGCAGGCACCTGGCGAAAAACACGCTGGTAGGGTGGAGTCCAATGCCCAGATCCCAAAGGACCTGGAAAAAATAGTTGACCTCTTAACTAACCTTTACTTACCCGAACCGACTTTGATTGTCGGATAAATGCGGAGGTCTGAAGTAAAGGCGGCGTGGCCAAGATGAAGAACATGAAGAGCAAAGTCAGTCTGCCCCTCTCGGGAAAACCCATCGACATACACCCGAATCCCGCAACGGAAAACCATTCCCCACTCGGGTCACTCAGGGGCTGGTGACTGACAAATGATCATGGCACACATCCGCGTGTTCCTGGTTGCTTTCGTTTTGGATTCCCTTTCAGCACCAACTAAAAGGCAACGGGGGTCTGCCAGTTTGCGCAACTCCCAAAACAAAGGACCCCCAAAACACAGCCGTGTTCTTTTAGTTTCCCTTGAAAACGCCACTCCAAAAGGCCTCTTCCCCCCCCCAAAAAAAAAACAAGGTTTGTTTCAAAGGCAAGCCACCAAAAGCTGCAAAAAAGTACCCTCCACCCCCCCCCCCCTGCTGTTCCCATCTCTCGGCGCTCGGCCTTCTGCGCTAGGAACGCCATCTCCGCTGCGACCTGTTTACCGGCGCGTGCTGCCACGGGCACGGCCGGAGTGTGGCCTGAGCCGAGTGCAACTTCCATCCGCGTCTGCTTTGCAAAAACCAGCCAATGACAGAAGAAAACTGCCAAAACCAACCAAGGCAAGGATTGAGCTGCGTTCGCGGTTTGGGACACACGCTTCAACTCCCAAGGGAGGGTGCTAATCATTCGAGTACTGATGAGTCTCGAGTACAACTGATGAGTCTCGAGTACAACTGGCAAGTCTCGAGTACGATAAGTTTCGGCTCGCAATACACTTGGCTTCCCTGTAGCTACTTTAACAGGGACACACAGAAGCAACGGCGGTTCAGGGAGGGTTCCAAAAGGACATTCGCAAACATCGCAATTGCAGGTACGTCCAGCTGATCAGGCTGGATATCAGGAGTTAACAGCGAGCGTCTTCGTTGGCGCAGGACTCGCTGAAACTCCCTGCGCCCCCTGCTGAAGAAAAAAGTTTTGGTGGCTGGGTATTCTGCCACTCCGCACACACACACGCCCCTCAAAGAGGGGCGAGAACCACTTTTTTCGGGGGGGAAACACGCGCCCCAAAAGCGGGCGAAGACCCCAACAGAAAACAAACAGAGCAGGAAAACAAAGGAAACAGAAAGGCGGTCTCCGCGGGCAAAACCAAACCAAGAAACACGAAAAACAGGGGAACCCGAGTTTAGGGTCACCGCCGAGGGCAAAGAACCCCAAACAGCCTAGAAACCCTCCTAAACCTGGTAGAAGAAGAGCACCGCGAAGTTGAAGAACGACACCACGAACACGCCATGCCTAAACGGGCGAAGAGGAACAACAGGAAGTAGTTGGAAAAGAGGGAGGAGAAAAGAGGGAAAGAAAGAAAGAAAGAAAGAAAGAAAGAAAGAAAGAAAGAAAGAAAGAAAGAAAGAAAGAGAGAGCGATAAATAGAGAACAAGAAGAGAAAAAAAAGGGGGCGAGATGCGTATTTAGGGCGCCGCAGCCCGCCCGGGAGAAGGAGAAAGGAAAGAAAGGGAAAGAGAAGAAGAAGAAGAAGGAGAGAAAAGAAGACAAAGGGAGCGAGATGCGTATTTAGGGCGCCGCAGCCCGCCCGGGCAGAGGAGAAGGGAGAAAAAAGAAAAGCAAAGAAGAGAAGCAGAAGACAAGGAGACGAAAGGAGAAAAGAAGGAAGAAGGAAGAAGGAAGAGGAAGAGAGATGTAGTATGCGGTTTTAGGGCGACGCGTCCCGCCCAGACAGGAACAGAGGATGAAGGAAGACGTCGAATCCCACACGGGGGCCAAGAGGACGGACACGAAATAGCAACGGAAGGGGAAGAAGACGTCAAGCCAAACTACGTGAGGAAGAAGAGGAGTAGGAACAGGTAGACGGACAAGAAGACGAAGACGAGGAAAAAGGTGAACAACGCGAGGACAACCAGGCCATCCCTAAGCGGGCGAAGAGGAGGAGGACGAACGCGCGGGTCACGAAAGGCAGCAACAAGAGAACGGGAGGAAGGAGAAGCCATCCCTAGGCGGGCGAAGAACCAGAAGACGGGCACGCGGAAGACGAAGGCGAGAAGAAAGAAGGGTGAGACTTAGCTATGATCTGACGGCTGTCTTCCCTTTAGTGAAACCTCGTTCCTGCTTCTGAGCTGCGAAAAGAACGTTGAGGTCAAATTTCCGGCGAACCGGCCCGGGGTCACACGATGGGCACACCCGAGGTTCCCCCAAGATGGGGTGATCACACTTCAACTCCCAAGGGAGGGTGCTAATCATTCGAGTACAGCTGATCCCTCTACTCCAAGAACCTTTAAAAATAAAGGATGCAAACGAAAAACCTGGTTTTGAGCCTGTTGTTTACCGAAAACAGGGTTTTCCAACCGAAAACCCGGTTTTACTTTTAAAATCCCATACAAAAGCCATACAAAACCCGTACAAAACCCATACAAAACCCGTACGTTTGTATGCTTTTCATGAAGCCGGGTTTTCCTGCGAAGAACCCGGTTATTTTCGAGAACCTTTAAAATAAAAGGTTCTTGGAGTAGAGGGATGAGTCTCGAGTACAACTGATGAGTCTCGAGTACAACTGGTAAGTCTCGAGTACGATAAGTTTCGGCTCGCAATACACTTGGCTTCCCTGTAGCTACTTTAACAGGGACACACAGAAGCAACGGCGGTTCAGGGAGGGGACCAAAAGGACATTCACAAACATCACAATTGCAGGTACGTCCAGCTGATCAGGCTGGATATCACGAGTTAACAGCGAGCGTCTCCGTTGGCGCAGGACTCGCTGAAACTCCCTGCGCCCCCCGCTGAAGAAAAAAGTTTTGGTGGCAGGGTATTCTGCCACTCCGCACACACACACACACCCTCTTTTTCGCCCAAGTCCTATCGGGCCATCGGGTCCTAGGCCGCCTTGCAATGCACTGCAAAGACAACGAACAACGCATCTCCAACAAGAAAGGTCCACAGCCAGTACAGCACTCCTGGACATCATCCCGTCATATTACATGCCAGGCATTCTTGCACTGGCTTCTGTCTCCCAACAGCTGTATCTGAGCGAACAAACAGCATATTAATCGCACTTTGTGCAGGTACGTTTTTCAACCCACAACCCCCACCCCTCCCCCCTCCCCCCACAAAACCATGAAACCAGAGGGGGGGGACACGTAGTTGAAGCTGCAAAGGCACATGGTTCCATAGAGTGCACACTCAGCACGACAGCTCGACGGGCGCCTGTATTTGGAATTGGTAGGGGTGGTCATGAACCCTTCAGAGGTTTAGCAAGGCATCCCAAGGGTTCCTACTAAAGGCCATCAATTCGACCTTGAGTTTCTACCGTTAAAGTCGCCCTGCAAGTTTTACTATAGTTCCAAAACCTGAATTAAGGGACTGTGAGCATACCCCCATCTGAGCTCGCTATACAATAGGCAGAACCAATCAGCCCCAGTGCCTCACTGTGACCCTGGGCAAAGAAAATCGGCCAGTGCGACAAAGTGGCAGAATCCTCCATTGGCGGCACCAGGCAGTTGAAACGCGGCGGTATCTGCAGCCAGAACCAGGTCACCTGGGTGGGCAACTGCCCCATTGCAAGTTGATTCTCTGCTTCTTGGCGGTCCAAAGTGTCGAACTTCAAAGATACAACTAAGGTAAACTAGGTGTGTCTCAAAATACGGGACCCTTAAAATTGGTGGTGTGCCTTTCTGTTCCCCTTTAGAAACCACCTAAAAAAGGGTACCCTCAGAAAAATACCCGATTGTTGCCTCTGATTTCCCACAGCCCAAATGAAGGGAAGATACAAGCAGCCAGTCGCGTCTTGCAAGCGACGTGGATGTGTGCCAAGCAAAGGAAGCCTGTCATGCAAACAAAAACTGTTGAAACAACCCATCGTGCAGGACCACTAAAGCACCAGCTGCCTCCATTGAGTACAACAATCGCCAACAAAAATACTTGCCAACAAAAAATGCCCAAGAATGCCAACAAAAAAAAAACAATGACAACAAAAGAGATCCTGCCTCTAGTGAGTACCCCCAAAATCGCTTCCCTCTCCCCGCCTCAGGGGTAGACTCACCTGATGATTTAGCAAAGAAATCCTACCCCTCAGTCTTGACAATGATGACCATTCCCTGGAAAAGGGGCTGCAAGCAAAATGACTGGGGCAAATGGAGGGCTGCAACCACAACCATGCAGGGCAAACTCACCACAAGCCCGAGTTCGTGTCTTTGCCTCGTTGTGGGGCTGCAGGCCATGCCGAATTTCTCCCAAAGCATTGCACCTTGCAACATTCAATTGCAACATCAAAGCTTGCCTTGAAGGATTCCACTCGAACTCATTTGTCTTTGTGTGCAGGACATGGTGGATCCCATTTGTGGAAGGAACTGGGGCTCTATTGTTGAGCCTTTATGTTGAGCCTTGTTGATGGCATTGGGGCATGTTGGGCGGTACTCCATGTGAAACTTGAGTTTCACACCTAACTCTGCAACTTACGTGTTGAGTCTGAATTCGCGGTATTGGATATCAAGTGAGTTCTGCTTTTGACAGCCCCGTCGTACGTCGCGGGTCGGGGGATCGTTCCAAGTCTTAGCATATTTCTGAGGGGAAGAACAAAAAACCCCATGCTCCATCAAATCTCCAAAAGAACAAATCTATGACAGGAACAACCATATGGGTGTTCCTGTTTTTGAGGGTCCCCCCTTGTTGGTGGTTTTAAGTGGAAGCCAAAAGGAAAGCTGACGCCTTTTGGGGGTCCAACCTACACCAGACACAACCGTATGACTTGAGCCCTTGAGTGCGGGCAAAAAGAAAAATCCCTTGAAAGAAGCCGGCCTCGTTCGCAACCTGGGATTTTTGTTCCATCTGTCTCTGTTTAGGGTGGTCAAAAGGAACACCAAAAGAGCACCACCCTTTTTTTCTTGTTCTTTTCGCCTTTTTTTTTGTGGGGGAGGGGGGGAGGGGTGGAGCAAGATAGGGGCGTGTCACTGGTTGACACTTTTGGGGGTTGGTGACACCAAAAGTAGGCTTTCATTTAGTTAAGACCCCTGGACAAAAATGAACATATTTCCAGTAGTGATAAATTCCTTTTACCAACAAGGGAAAATGAAAAAGTATTCTTAAGCAAATGGAAGCAGAAAGGGTCCCTCCGTTTCAGACGCTTGCAGACAACCCCATCTCCATGCGCCGTGTGGCAAGCGCAGGCCATCTGGCAGCCCGCCGCCGTGGCCAAGCCTTGGACCTGTCAAAGAAAGTTCTCCCGTGCGGCGACGTGTTCTTGTTTTGAGTCATAATCAAAACCCGGTATTAAACTGGTCGCAATCCCAGAAACATGCAAAGATTTATGGTTGGGAGCATCCCCTTGCTAACCTTCATCTTCCCGGGTCTTGACTATGACTCCCTCTTTTCATTTGGGGGGTGGTTGGGGGGGGGTGGGAGGGAGGATTCTCAAAATGGTACCTTAAAATGCTTTGGTTCATGTTTGGCTTCCCCTTCCCAAAAAAAAGATCTCCCCAAAAGAACACCCCAAAACACAGACCCATTTGCTAGTTGCTTCAACCATGCAAGTCGAGATGTCAGTCGCATTCCTCCGCTTTAGATGGGCATTGACTTTAGTTGGGGAATCCCTTGGTGGAGGAGTGTCCTTGGTTTCAGACTTGTTCTTGAATAATTGGGAGCACTTTGGTGGACATCATGTGCAATTCATGTCCTCCCCCTTCTGAGGTGCATTCCATATGACCTTTTCCAGAGCCAAATGGTGTTTGCAGTTGCGCTTTTTCCTGGGAAGGCAAATGCTTGGGCTGGGGCGCTGCGGCTTGCAACGATAGGGTGGGTTTGTGGGTCTTGGAGTAGCATGTTTCATGTAGCATCAGTACCTATGGCTGGCGACTGCAAAATGGCCGTTGCCTGCGGGTCTCTCTGGCGGGGTCCTGTAAACTTCCAAAGCCACTGAGCCAGCGGAGGAATCCACCAAGATCCATGAACTTGGCAGGTGAGTCACAATCAAAACCCGGTACTGAAATGGTCTACCCAGAACCGTGTAAGGAATTAAGAAGGCGGATATCCGCAGCTATTTTTGGTTGGGATTGTCCCTTACCAACCTTCATCTACCCGGGTTTTGAGCACGTTGCTCAGGTGGAGTCCTATGCTGAAGGGGAGGCAAGACTGGGCCAAGGCGGCTCACGTTGTTAAGCTAAGGGAATCAAAGGGCTGAAGGTGAAGGCAGGAGGCAGGAAGCTTGGCTTGCAGGCGGTAAAGTGAAACCGTGGCCAGAACAAATCCAGGGACCGGGCAAGGTTGATCAAGCATGCTGGTAAGTGCCTTCAGAGGAACCAAGCCGTATATTTCCGTTTGACGCTCTATGCTCACTTGCCTGGCTAAGACAAAAGCAAACCAAAATTTGGTTGGTTTCTCCCGAAAGTTGGTGGCCCAATAGATCCTTTCGGTGAAACCAACCATTTCCCTAAAGGTTTCCTTTCGGTTTCCGAGGGGTCGTTTGCCTACAGCTAAGACTCGGGCCACAGCGATGGTCGGCGGTGGAATCTTTTTAAGCAGCAGCGCCACCTGCGCATGAGATGGCTACGTGTCAGACTAGGGATTCGGACCCCCAAATTGGCGGCTAGCTAACAGGGGTACTCCAAACTACTCCAAAGATAACTTTCCTAGATAGTATTTAATGTCATGATACTCATATCAAGAAACGTATTTCGGGTCACAAGTCTGTACAGCATGTGATAGTACCCTTTGATGGGCATATGCAGATGTGTAATATATATATATGTATATATAAGGTACAACGTATACATATACATGGTGGCTTGTGTCCAACAATATCCAACAACACTGTTGACTTTGAGGGTTTCCAACCATTACAATTCATATTGGCCGAAATCTGTTGAGCTGACCTCGGGTGGTGCAAAAGCAGCGTACATGGCAATAGCCATGGTTCTTTTTCAACCACAGCATGTCCGGTGAGAAGGCCTTAAAGAAAAATGGCGGTGCCAACTTCGAGGTGGCAAGCTTGCTTTGCAGCGTGGGGCGCTGGAAAGGGGCTGTTTTCGTCTGACAGCTCGAAGGGCTCTTTGCTGAGCAGAAGGGGTCGACCCAAGCAAAGCTCCCAGTTCTTCGCGCCGCCGCCGGATCCCTGCCTCGCAGCACAGCTTCAGGGTCTCCTCATGCGCCCTGGCACCCAAGTCCGCCGCAAAGTCCCCGAAGTCGTGGCCCGAGCTGAAGACGGGCCCCTGCGGTCAAGGACCCCATGAATTCGGTGGGTCCCGGGTCATGTCCACCACGCTTGAGGTTCCAATCCAACTAAAGATAAGGGCGCAAAGGGACCTCAAATGTGCAATTGCCGAAAGGGACCTCCACTCTTGGCACGAGTTTCCTCGCATCGAAAAGTGGCGCAACCAAAAGGGTGATGTTTCCACGCGCGAAGGGAAACATCCAAGGACACGGGCTAATGGAGCACTCGACACACCGCTACTCTGCTTGCAGCAAGGTATGCGGGACAAAATCCATGTGGTAGTTTGACGTGAAGACTTCCCGTCACGCCCCTTGGTTGTTGCCTTTTTTGAGGGACCCCCCGGGTTTTAAAGGGGAACCGAAAGGAAACACATTTCTTTCTGGTCCCCTCAAAAAACACGCCCGTGTATGCCCTTGCATCCTTCACTTCTCCCATCACGATCGAGCTTTGCATCCCGGACCCGTTGTGACCATGGAGATTGAACCCAGACCTTCCAATCTCACGCCTTGCAACTATGTCTTCTCAAGTTGAGAGAAAATATCCGCCGAATGAAGACTGCAAACTCAGATGCCCGGTGGATGTCCATGAAAGGAAAAACTCATCGGCAACCTTTGTTTGTTGGTTGAGTTTAAAGGGGGGCCCTTGCCCAAAAAAAAGAGACAAGGGCACCACTGGGCAACAGAATAAAGTGACGTTCTCTGGACGGCGCAAAGCAGAAAGCGAACAATCATCAGTCTGCAGTCACAGCATGCAAGCGACAAGCAGCTCCACGAGCACATGTCCAATACCAAAAACTTCAAGAAAAGTCAGGTTCGCACTGACTGAAAGCACAGTCCATTCAAGTGACATCCTTTCAACTTCCCCTCAGAATGGTGGTTCAACGGAACCCCCAAAGCAATTTCGAGCACTCAACCTGCCCAGAATTGCAACCAACCCATCCATCCATCCGACCACCCACCCACCCACCGGCCCACCCAACCGGTCCTGAGCTTCCAGCAGCACCACCCGTGCACGGGGGGATATATTCTGAAGCACGTCATGAAGGCCTTGAAGAACCTGGGGTGAGCGCCGTTCCTACTGTGGATGGACGAAATCCTGCACCACCTAAGAAATGCTAGAAATATATACTGATATAATCCCCTGTAAATACCAATGGTTTCCCATGGTGTCTTGGGTGGTGCAGGATTTTGTCCATCCACAGTAGCACCTAGTTCTTTAACTTCATGAAATGGGCAACACTAAAACCGACAACTTGGCGTAAGGATTGAGGATTGATCTGGAACACTCCGGTCTAGGGGTTTAGGGGTTCATTCCGTTTCTATTGCCCTGGTTTTGCCGGCTTTCCGATCGTTGGGACAGTTCCTCCCAAGTTCTCCAGCGGAACCAAACACAAAATGAACTTTCCCAAGGCGATACGAAATGGTCATGGCGAGAATCGTGAGGCAATAACTGTGAAGAAAGGGCACACGATATTTGACATCCAGCAAATCTACACATCCAACAACCGCATGATCCCTCAAGGGAGACCATGGGGATGTTCCAAGGATAATTGTGCGAAATATCAATTGAGTCATGCTATTCTAAACAAGCCAGATTCATCTAACACACAACACCAAAATCAAATAAGTGAACTGTTTGACTGCAAGAACAATCTAACACGTAGGCTCTTCTGAAAACATGATTTTTGTACAACTGACTTTCCTGCGCTGGACACGCAAAGGCCGCACCCCCCTTGCATTGCTTCTGCATCTGAGTTCTTGCAACACATCTTGAGACGAGGCTAAGGGTAACTCAACGAGTGTCGGGCAAAACGGGTGCACAGGGTGAAAGCAGATGTCAGGATGTCCTTTCTATGAAAGGAAAGGACAACTAAACAAAAGGTGGTTGTATGTTTTGCAATCTGGGCGTGTCCTTTTTTGGCGGACTCCCCAGAATGGGTGGCTTCCTTTTGGTGTTCAAACACAAAAAAAACTCGGGGCTTCACTCAAAACCAGACCAGCCACCCATCTACTTCAGCACCCGTCGACCTTTGTTGAGCGAGCGGCGGGCCGGCCCAGCGCGTTACGCCGCCGCGAGTCGGAGAGGGTCAGGGTCAAGACCTCGCAGAGGTCTTCGTCCCGGGGGTAGTCCAAAGGGGGCGGGCTCCCTAAGGAACCCTAAGGAACCCTGAAGGAAAACCCGAAGGAACCCTAGGGTTCTGTGAACTACCCCCCGGTCAACTTGTACCTACCCCCCTTCCGGACTCCATGATTGCATTTCTCGCTCCATTTGCTAGGGAATGTGAAATGGAATGACCCCGAACTAAAGCATCCAACTGGTGGGTCCCTTTAAGGGGACCACAGCCTGGGTTCATTCCAACTCATTGCCTATCGCACCAGCAAGACGGGGTTCAAGTCAGAACTCAAGGAAGTTCATCAGCTTCCTTCAAAAACTGTGGCTTGGTGGTCCGGTGGTTTGGTGGAGGAGGTATTCACCATCTCAAAAGCCAGCGGGTACATGTCCCATCCAAACCACCAAAGGGTCGTGTGGCAGGTCAAAGGCAACGGTCTGATGTATCCAGCATGCGAGTAACATACGGTTCTGTGTGTGTGTGTTTTTTTGGGTGAGGGTACCCCTTTACCCCTTTTTGTGTGGCTTGCAAGGAAAATCAAAAGGAAAACCACCATTTTCCTTTGCGGGGCGGAGGGGGGGGGATGGGTCCCCTAAAACAAGACACGCCCACTTGCCCAAAGGACATGGGAATACAAGGTGATCACCTATCACCTCAGATCCAGTCGATTCCCTTTGAAGAAGTGAGAGTTGGGCTTCCCCGTTGGATTGGTTTTAAGTGAAAACCAAGAAGGCAAATAGCAGGTTCGGAGGCCATCGGGGACGGGCTTACGCTCCACGCGCCCTTCCTTCTTTCATATTTACTGGCCCTTGTCCATTGCTCATAGCACCCTCAATAATGTGTGGTTTACATAAATCCCCATGTAGATGATGCAATGTCCACCAACGCGTCCCCACTTAAACTCCCATGATTGCCTCCATAAGAACCCTTTCATGGTCGTCTACAACCCGTGATCGGTCCATGTCCATCCCTGCTAGCCCCACGTAAAGGGCTTCTTTTTAACCATGAAAGGAATGAGGCATTGTAGATGTGTCAAACGCGACCGGCCGGTGAAACAAAGCTCCAAGGAAAAAACCCTCGAAGGACAAAACGCCTTGGGCCAACGGGGTGCCATGGCAAATTGGCCGGACATCACTGTTGGTACCTGAAAAAAAAGTCAACCTTCGAGGGGGGATTCCTCATCAGCAATCCTTCTTCTCCGCTTCTTGCTGTCATTCGTAACCTGCCGGGGGTTTTGGTGGCCACTGCCTTCAGAATGGTACAAAACTGAGTGCTCAGAGGGGAATGAGGGAATGAACCCGGCGGTTTCCTTTCAGGGGCCCAAAGCCCGGGTTCATCCGCACATTCCCTATCGCAGCGAGAAAATGCTCTGGGCTTTTCTGTGGGCCTGTGGGGAATGACCACTGCTGTGATACAACAGAAAGGCCTTCCCAAAGACCACTTTGTTCATAAGGGGGATTCTCTTGTGTCACAGAAGTGGGGAGAAACCCCTTCTAGGTCCTCCAGTAGAGAGGTTAGAATAACGGTACCCTTTTTTCTGTAATCTATTTTAGTAGGGGAACCCTCCCCCAAAAAAAGTTGGTGAGAAAGGGCACCTAGCTGGGGGACCTAGCCTTGATCCCACCACCCTGCTCTTCTCTGCAGTCCTCTCTCGCGCCCGGTTGCCTCAGACTCCGCCCGCCTGCTTCTCATCCAGCCTCCAGCTCAAGGCTCCGTCAGCAGCTTGGCCTTCCTCCAGCGCCTGGCGTCCGCGTCCTTTTGAGACCACACACCTCGCCAACGGAGGGGGACGTTTCTGTTCCCTTGTCCTGACTTTGGCCTCCCTAGTCGTTCTTGTTTTTCTTGTTGCTCGCAGGTTTTGTGGACCGCATCTTTGACTTTAGGAGGCCTTGTCCTGTGTTTGTTGTTTCTCGTAGCTTGTGTTTGGTCGTTGTTCAGTAGAGCCCTGACCCTAAGATGCGGTCTTTTAATCAAACGCACGACCATAGATACAGCTGGGTGTTTGACGTCACGACTACCTTCGCGAAAAGGTGCCAGGAAGAATCTCGGAGGATCGCACTACCTGGATTCACTGAAGTCGTTCAGGATCTGCTGCAACATGTGTGCACCGCCAAACTGTTAAAACAACAGTTTGCTTGGCGTCCCTTTACAGAAAACCACGGTGTGGTGGTTGTTTGCCAAACCTGGTCATAGCCAAACCCAAGTATGAAGGAATATAAACATATACATATATATATATATACAGCCCCCCATGGGAATTACCGCGGACGAATTCGGACTGCAAGTCAGTTCCTGCCAGGGACCAGCTTCCAAAGGAAACAGCTGCCACGCCAAATGCGGGTTTGTCTCACAATAGGATTCCACCCACCCCCCCAAAAAATACAATCAATAAATGCGTGGTTTCCTTTTGGTTTCCCTCTAAAGCCATCCAAAAAAGGTCCCCTCGAAAAAATCAACCGCCCATTTTGCTGCAGTTGCCCCCTGGACATGTCGAGAAAGTCACCTGTAGCGTTCGGAGCTCAAGCTCTGGCTCGACATGGCCATGTTCCTCGATGGAACATAGACAAATCGGGATGGCGGGTTTTTCTTTTTTGAGGGCCCAACAAATAGCCGCTGGTTTCCAGTTGTTTTCCCTGAAGCCACCAAGCGGCACTCCCTCAAAATGGTTTCCAGTTGGCTTCCCTTAAGCCTCCAAGCGGCACTCCCTCAAAAGGACGAGCCACACAATTCTGCTGAACCCCGCCTGAGCTGGTTCCCAGCTGGGGTTGAAGCCAAGCTCCTTGACTTGCGGTTGGAATGTCTGCAGCGCGTTGACTGGGTGCGTCTTGTCAGAGGATGCCCCTTTTGTTGTGGGTTTAAAGGGAAACCAAGAAAACCCATTTTGGGGGGTATCCTAAACAAAAAGACGCACCCACTTCAAACTTCTAGAGTTGACCAGTCTCGCATGTTCTGCGCGGAAGCCCTCCCTCTCAACCATCTTCACTCAGCTTTGCGGGCAATCCATCTCTCCATCGAAAACATTGGGCGTAAACATGCTTGTGTCATGCTGAGGCTTCACTTCACAGCTGTGAATCCTTAGGCATTGTGGTTCCGAACATGACTGTGTGTTCTTGGACCCCTAGAGGGGGGGTTGATTGAAAGGGACACCCTTTGGCACGTGACAATGGAAATGGCACAAATCTGACCTTTCGGGCATAGGACTGAGAGCAATTGAAGCTCCCAATGAGCTAATTGGATGACCAGGATGGTTCCGGTCAAACTGGGTGTCCTAAACATTGTATTGGCTCCCTTTGGTTGCCCTCTAAATCCACCCGAAAAACAGTCCCGTCAAACAAGGCCACGCCCAACTGGCTGAAGCTCAGGAAAGAGGTTGCAAGGGGCGAAATGAATATATATATATATATATGTATATACACATAATATATTATATGTGCTACCCCCCCCCCCAAAAAAAAAAAAAAATAAAAATAATAATAATAATAATAATAATAATAATAATAATAATAATAATAATAATAATAATAATAATAATAATAAATATTTTGGTCTGTGAGACTTGTGGGTTTTGGGGAAGGGAGTACCATATGTATATATATATATATGGTTCACTGCCATCATGATCAAACTTGGTGTTCACCCGACGACCCCATTCGAATTATTTGGGTCTGTGCTTCTTTGAGGATACCCGTTTCAGGTTGGTTGCAGGGGAACCAACAGGAACCATAAATTTGTTGGGTCCCTGAACTTTGACACATCCCCACTGAGAGCTTTGACTGCAAACCGCGTAGACTCACCACACCGCCGCTCCACCAGCAGGCACGGCCCAGAGTGAATGAGACCTGAGACTCGGCAAATAGATTGGCACATCTCCTTAGATTGGTTTGGTCATCCCCTACCTACCCACATAAAGGGCATTGTGCCATCCAGCTTCCCCCCGGTGTATCCTGTGTGTTGTGTGATTGGTGCCAAGCAACATTTTTGATCATCCGCTTCTCATGCAAATAAAAAAGGGATATCTGCAAAGTAACTTCTGGGTTCACTCTGTGACACCGTATCGGATGTTTTGTGCGAAGCCATGAACAAAGCTGAACACAAAACATGTGAGCCTGAACACAACAACCCATTGGAATAGCTTTCAAATACGTTTTTTCTTGCCATAAAGACATCTTCGGCCTTGGACTTGCATCTGCGCGCGGGCGCTCGGGAGGCCTGATCTGGGAACTAGACCAGGGGCTCTCGCCAGGGCTCGCAAGTGCATGTTTGATGCCTTGAATTTAAGAGGCATTGTGCCATCAGATTTAAAGATAAGTAGCCAACACCAAAATTTGCCGCTTGGCGTCAAAAGAGGTCGTGCACTTTGAATTCAAGTCGAGCTAGCTGTGCTCACTTTGCTCAGCGCCAACCGGGTCGGCGTCTGCGGCGTCGGCCGGGGCCCCCTGGGCGCCGGCGTCTGCGGCCGGGTCCCCCGGGTCGCCGACGTCTCCTGCGGCGATGTGCTGATTTCTCCTTGGAGGTATCCTCCTCCGCTTTTTCGTCCTCCTCGAAGACTTCTCCAACTTTCTCTGGCTGTGTCTTAGGGCTGCCCAACTTTCCAGCTGTTGGCACTGCTGCACCCTTGGACCCCTCCTTTTCAACAACTCCAGGGGTCTTAGGCGGCTGATCCTTGGTGCGCTTTGGCTCTTTCGGCTCTTCCACCACAGCTCCCACTTCAGCCGGAGACTCCTCATTCTTCGTGGCACTCTTCGTCTCTCCACGGAGGTTCTGCACCTCATCGCCACCAACCGTGGCGAAAGCCACAGCGAGCACAAGGGCCAATCGCCTCATGGCCGCTAATTGATGGACAACCCTTGCTGGAACGCTCGTCTTGAACCAAATGGCTTGAGCCAAAACATCTTTCAAACATGTCTCCCGCGCCTGATTTGCGGACAACAGCCATTTGGGTATGCGTCTCAAAATACCCTTCAAAATACCCTAAAATGGGAGGCTGTTCTTTTGAGTTGTGAAATCAGCCCCCAAGAAAGGGTACCCTCAAGCACGGCCAAATCAGCGCCCCCTACCCGATCGACCGCTGCCCCGGCCTAGCCCCAGCTCGCCAGCACGCTGCAGCACCTGGCGGGAATATGGCGGGGCAAGTCGCTACTTTGTGGACATGGAGTGACATGGGGCAACTCACTTCCGTGGATTGGCAACAAAACAAGTCCAGGAACTCTTGTTGTTCACCACTAGAATGGCCCAAGTGCAAAAAGTCACTAAAAAGTCCATGATCTCAGGAAGGGAGGCAATGTAGCCTTGCTTTTGTTGGGAGTACTGACCCCATGCTGTAAGGATTATGAAAACTCCAGGTCAAGGTGTGTTCAGATTATGTTTGTGAGTGTGCGGCAGGCCGATGTGCATGATCTTCAAAGTTTGTAGAATGTGTGTGAGCACAGCGTTGTCATGCCTCACAACTGGACACATGCTACAAAAGGACAGCTTTTGGCATCTTTAGCTGCTCGCACTTGCTCAGCTCGTGTTTGACACCCCGTTCAACTTCGCTAACAGCATCTCTTGAACCGATGATTTTGTGGGCTGGCAGATTGCGACTTGTTGCAACCCCCCAAGAAAAGGCCCTCAAAAACAGGTTTGCTGCTCAGTTGGGCCACCCCACCTCTGGTAGAAAATACGCGACCTTCAGAAACCACCGTTAAACACTTCGCCTGATGAGATGACCACTAGGGAAACCACCAAAGATATGACTTTTGCCACATGGGTTGTCTTTTTGGATGCTTTTGTAGGGAAACCAAAAGGAAAACCAACCGTTTTCGGGGTCCCCCCAAAAAACCAACACCCACCTTCACCCGAAAAAAAAAAAAAAAATCGCCCTTAAACTGGGACTGATCCACACGCGAAACTCCTCGCCTCCGGAGACTCGGAGCCGGGCTGCAGCCAGAGCCGTGTGAGGCCCAGGTCTTTCGCCAGGTCCAAGAGGCCTAAGGTCACCTGGAAACCCATCCGATCCCAGCCCAGCGTAGGATGGGGCGGCATTTGTTCCCTCATGGAGATGAGCAAATATGGGGGTCATTATGGGTCATTTCGCAAAAAGGCGCCCCCAAGACCTTGGGACTCGTTTTAGGGATCGAAAAGCTTGGCAGGTTTCAAGTTCTGTTGGGGGGGGGGGGAGGTCCAAGGGGGGAATCAAAATGTTGGGGTGTAACGCAAAGGCTTTTTGTGATGGAAAAGAAATGCTCGAGCCGCTCGCCTTGGGGGGCGTGATGACCGAGACGCCGTAGTCGCACACCTCCTTCCCCAGATCTTTCAGAGAGGAGACACAGGGCAGCCCTGCGCGAAGGACCAACAAGATTCAAGATTCATGGCATGGACTACGTGGAGTACTCATTCTTCTCCTCAACTCTTCGCGCGGGGAAAAGATGGACTACGTGGAGTATGCATGCTAGCTCCGCAACTCAGACCAGCTGAAATGGCAGTTCTGCCTGTGAACCGTCGGGCTGGAGTCTCCAGGACCTTAAAATACATGCACCATAGATCATGTGCTGTCCTCTGTTCTTTTCTTCTTGATTTTTTTTGGGGTAGTCACCCCATGTTTGCAATACAGACACTCCAGGGAGGGCACAGCGTCAAGGCCGACCCTTGCACCGCTTTGCATCGAGCCGCGCCTTCAATCACCTTCTGGGTGATGCTGACGGGCACCGCGCTGAGCCCGTGCTGCATGTAGCAGCGCAGCACCTGCCAAGAGATTTACAGGAAAAACAACTTGGGCGCTGAATCGGTTGACCAGCCTGTGGTTCCCTTGCAAATTCACATACTCCAAGAGGTCAAAGGAGATGGCTCCACGCGGATGTGAAAATCAGGGGCCTGAGATTGGTATCCCCAATATCAACGGCGGCATCGAAACGGGTCCAAGGAAAAACCGGCCTGACGCGCGTCAGTGTCTTCGGACCCGCAAAACCCCCGCCCCCCCCCCCCCCAAAAAAAAAAAAAAGATAAAAAATAAAAAATAAAATAAAAATAGTAAAAAAAAAAAAAACAAATAAAAAAATATAAAAAAAAATGGCGCAATGGTCTTCCAATTGGTTTCTGATTAAAACCACGAAAAGGTTTTAGTTACCAGGGCAACCCATTTTGGGATTACCCGATTTTTGAGAACCACAGCCATCTGGGTACCGCCATGGTACCGGGTGTCTCTTCGGACCTGGGGACCCCCCAAACTGGCGCAAGGGTTTTCCTGGTTTCCCATTGCAACCACAAAGAAAGAGAACTATTTTGAGTACCATTCAAAGGGACACCAGGAACAAGACCTATTTGGGTTTCCCTTTAACCATTCAACTCTACAGACCCTGACCGCCTCACGCCTCACGCCTCACGGCCGGCGCAAGGGCGCCTTGTTCCCGAACTTCTGCCTCTCCTGCGACGCACCCACCACCGCGAAGCCCGGCGCGGCCAGGAACTGGCCGATCTCCGAGGCCGTCGCCTGTGTCGATTTGCTTCAGATAGATCGGTCCATGGGCCCAAAATTGGTACCTATGGAAGCCTATGGAACCAACAGTAAACAAGATAAACTAGGGACCTCATGGGGGGTGAAACTTCAGATTGGTCAATGGGTCAAACAAATAGGGACCTAATGGAACCCTATAAAATCCAACACCTGTGGTCTGGCTTTTGATTTTGACCCCCCGAAGCCCAAAAGCTTCCAATCGGCGGATGAAATTAGTGGTTTGGTAGCGTGATTTCCCACGAGAAGGGTTGGCTTGACATGCCCAATCCAATACTGCGCAGGAGAAACCAGATATTTTTTTTGGGGGGGGCCAACAGCCAGATTGGGGGCAAGAAGAAAAAACAAGAACGGATTGGGGGGTCAAGAAAGAGCCCCCGCAGAAGAAAAAGGCTTTGTGCGTAAGCATCTTGCCACTCATATCTAAAGGCTCACGGAATTCCGCCCAATCGCGAAAATGTGGCATTGCGAAAATGTGGCATTGCGTGTGTCTCCCGGTGACAACAGTGAAGAGACCCTCTTTCTAGCAAAGCCGACAAAAACCAAATCCCGGAAGAAAAGCTATCCAAGCCCTTCCCTTCCGCACTTTGTGGTCCATCCCTCAATGGAAACGCATGAAAGACGCACTCAAAGGGCTCGGTACCAAGGAGACAAGGACACACCCTGCGCCGTCTTCCCCTAAACCGCTGGTGCACTTCGCCCTGGAGCCCCGAAATTCCAAGGAAGCCTTGGCCGCTTCTTGCGCACACCTCACATCCAAAGAAAAACAAAGCAGCACTTAACACTTACTCTCCCATCCACCAATATGTTCGTGGTCAAGAGGGTACACACCAACATGGAACCTGACTATTCGGAGTCCTGGAAGACTTGTTTTCTTTTAAAGGGACCCTCTGGTGGGTTCCATGTTCGTGGTCAAGAGGGTACACTCTTTCCAAGTGACGGTGGACGTTTTCGGGCTTTTCCAAACGAAACGATCGTCTTCCGAAATCTCGGATCCTGAGCTTCCACAGGGAACCGCCCTGCCTGGGAGAAGTTGCGGCCATGAGCCAGGTGCAGGTGCAAACGCTGCAGGCGATGCATGGCTCTTGGCCTTTGCTAGGCCAACGCTACGACACCCCTAAAACAGGTGTGTTCCTTTTATTCCAAAAAGCCAAAGGCACAAACCCATCTCTGCCTGACCCTTTGGCTGCACAGTCTCGCAAAAGCTGTCAGTTTACATCAGAGGGGTTGTCAGATCAAAGGTCCGGTCGTGTTCGTGCATCAAGATAGCCTGCTGTCAACGGCCCACGGCACAACTTGGGCTGAGCTCTGAAGCCTGGATGCAGCACACAGTTCATGGTGTATGTTCTGATGATTGCATGCTTGTTCTGTGGTGGTGGCATGCCGTTTCAACGCGCATCTGGCACGAGCCGAAACCGCAAATCTGCAGCAATGGAGACAACCGAGAAAGTTTGAAATTGACAAACACACCCACAGACACACACACACAAACACACGGACACCGACACGGACACGGACGCAGGACAAGCAGACAAACACACTCACACTCACACACACACAAACACACAAACACACATACACACATACACATATATACACACACATACACATACACATACACACACGCAGACACACACACACACACACAGACAGATAGACTCAGACTCAGACTCAGACTCAGACTCAGACTCAGACTCAGACACAGACACGGACACAGACACAGACACTAAAACACACACACACACACACACACAGGGACCAACAAAACACACACGCAAATACATGCTAGGCAAAAGTTGGACGAACGCTACTTCGCCACTTGCGCAGTGCTATGATGCCAAAGAACGACTTGATGGCTTGCAGGCGGTTGACTCTAGGACGCGTATCGGATGCGAAGGTCAAACCATCTCAGAATCACGGCTTAACCTCCTCATCCCCCTTCCCAATCCATCACCTCTCACCCGGTTTCACCCCCTCACCCAAGGACTTCCCGACCCAACATCGGCTGACTTGTCACTGGCGGATCACACGTTTGGCGTGTCTTCGGCGGGCCTGACGTCTGCCACCGCACTTCCGGCAGAAGAGGGCATCTTCAGCGTAGCAGTCCAGGCACTTGGGGCACGAGTCCTGGCAACATTCGCAAATCCATTTGAGCTCAGCCTGGGCCAGACTGCCCCCAAAGCATCACACAAAAACACAAGTTGGCGCTTAATTGATGCCAGCACTTGCTCTTCTTTCCAACTGATGCCTAGAGAGTCTGCGTGTGTGTTTGTGTGTGTGTGTGTGTGTGTGTGTGTGTGTGTGTGTGTGTGTGTGTGTGTGTGTGTGTGTGTGTGTGCGTGCGTGTGTGTGTTTGTATCAAAGCATGTGCATGCAATATGTATAATGTATATATATATATATATATGAGTTGTTCTGATACTCCTGGATGTATATATGATATGCATGCATGCATGCATACATGTGGGATAAAAGCAATGACATCAGCATTTGCAATCTGAAAGAGTTTGAATGCATATGCCCCCCTAATTTGGACATAAAATCCAAGAAGCAAAAAAAGCATAAACCACTGGAAAAAATACACACCAAACCAGGGTCCATGGGGGGGGGGGGGGGGGGCGTACCATGTATATCTATATAAATATATATGCTACGCCCCCCCCTGGTGCCTAGGTTCTGCTTGATTTCAGCGCGCAGGCTGTAGAGTTTACATTGTTTGCAACAGATTTTAAGCACAAATGAATGGGCTTGCAGTCCATCATGGCACGACTCGAAATGTCCCAATATGATACCCTTTCCAAATAGTGTTTTTCTTCAACTAGAAATGGAATTTTGGATATAATTTGGTTAGGATATAGTTTTCAACAATGTGTTTATGCTCAGCATTGCTCAACTACAGCTTGTATAGGCAAATCCTTTCCAAATAAGAGCTACATGAGAATATAAGTATAATTTCGCGCAAACTCCAACTAATCTTCAACAAAAGAAGTTAGGAGTTTATTATCAAATATAATCTAAGCGTTTGATATAATTTAATACGAACACAACTCAATTAGCTTTTCATAAAAAAAAGTTAAGTAGAGACTACTTCTCAAATTTAGCTCATATCAAATATGGCTAAACATTTAAGGGCCTTCTACAAGGAAATTCGAAACGCGATTTGTGCTAATTATATCCTGGCCCTTTTGCAGCATAAGAAAGGTCCGAAATTAAACTTGTTCGACGGTGTTCCAAAGAATTTTTAAGGGAAGAGAGGTTCAAATTCTAAAACTATTTCGAAACAGGGATTCTAGCTGAATCATTTGTATTTAAAGTTCGATTTGCGCAGGAAAACAAATTTAATTCCATCTCAAAAGGCGGAGGTAGTAGATGAGCAATTGTGGAGAGGTAGTTCAAGAGGGGGAGGGGTGACGGCGTGTGAACATACATATGTGTGGACATATATACATACAAACACACATATATAGTGCACCTAATGATCCTGTGCCTCTTCAGAAAGTACTGTAAAATACAGTGTTTTTGAGCATTCCACCGACCTTTGTTTACCTCCTGGAAAAGGGTCAACATGCTTCATAGCTAACATGAAGCAAGCCGCTCACCAAAAGCACTTGAAAGTTTGTCTAACCAGTAACTTGAAAGTGTTTCCACTGGATCGCTAAGCACTTGAAAGTATTTTACCACTGGATGGAGAACAAAAAAAACAAGATTGAAGATTCACAGAACACTTTCCTGAGAATGGTCAATGCTTGGCCAAACCCAAACAACATTCAAGTTCTTCTCACACTTGAAAGTGCTTTACCACTGGATTGAGGAATCAATATCGAGGATTGCACAAACAACAACTTTTCTGAGAATCATCCATCCTGGTCAAACCCTAAAAATGACCAAGTTTTTTCTGAAACTTCGAACGTATTTGACCACTGGATTGAAGATTTGAGATTTACATATTTCACGGAAAGCTTTTCCGAGAATCTTATTGAACCCCGAGAGTATTGGGACAAAGCTGTTTTTTTTTTTGACAAATTCTGGGATTCAAGATTCAAGATTACAAGAAAATGATTATTTTGAAATCTTGAATCTTGAATCTTGAATCTTTCTTGTTTTTGAGTTGTTTTTGTTCTTTTGAGATTCAAGATTCAAGATTCAAGATTCCCAGAAACATATTATTTTGAAATCTTGAGTCTTGAATCCCAGGGTTTGTTGATTTTATTTTTTTTAAAAAAAAAGAAGATATGGGATGTAAGATTCAATATTCCAGAATTCCAGAAAAGATTGCTTTGAAATGTTGAATCTTGAGTTCCAGATTGTCACATTGAACGTCTCCCCGCAATCTTGGGTCCAGAATTCTTAATTGTAGAATGGTGCCCAAGTTTGGCCAAACAAATGCAAATTAGCTGAACAAAATGATTGGAATCAAGCAAAACCTAGGCACCAGGGGGGGGGGGGCGTACCATATGTATATATATATATTAATTTGCTTATCTATTTAGTTGATTCTGCATGTATTGCATAAGCGCCAGTCCTTTTCAACATGACCGCCCTTCATCACAGGCATACCGAGAGACCTTTGCAACCGCGCCTCGAGCACCTCTGCGCTGCGCCTTAGCCGAGGCAACTGGTTCAGCAAAGATGGGTTGGGTTGGGGGGGGGTTTGGGGGGAGGGGGGGTGGAGGTTTGAGGAGGATGTTGACGTCCGTGTTCACTGAATACGGCCCTTGAGTGAGCCAACACAACTCTGTTCATTCCTACAGTTTCGAGTACTGAAAATGGACATTGGCCAACTGCAAGTGACATGCCCTGGCTGCCGCCTTCCCTGGCTGACTGCTCAGTCTCTTGTTGTTCAACCGATGGCTGCGCTGCCGGCTGCTAGTTGCGACTAAGATCGGCCGTCAATTCCGGCGCCCACTCGGAGCCCACTCACAATGCAAACTTTGGGCCTCAATCCAAACATGAACTGTCTGCATAGCCACACAAGTGTATATATACATATGTATATATATGTGTATATATATATGTATATATATTATACATAGTATTAACTATTCTATGTATATGAGCACACACATATATGTATATATATATACATTACATGCAAATGTATGTGCATGTGTGCCTATGAACACGACAAACAAACACACACTCACACACACACAAACACAAGCACAAACGCACAAGCACAAGCACAAGCACAAGCAAACACGCACGCGCACACGCGCGCACACGCGCGCACACGCACACCCACCCACACACGCACACCCACACATGCGCACACAAGCACAAGCACAAACACAAGCACAAGCACAAGCACAAGCACACGCGCACACACACACACACACGCACAAAAAAAAACAAACACGACAACAACAACACAAACATCACACACCCACACGCAAACACACAAACACACACACACACAAAAAAAAAGAAGAAACAAAAGAAGAAACAAAGCGCACAGACTAAACCAAACAACCACACTAGCAGCAAAGGTCTCAGATCGAGACTCCAAATATGTGACGCTCGGCGTGGCAATCGGTTGTCCAAATATTGGGAAACACCAGGTTGCCTTGACAGCATAGAAGGTCACCGTTAACATTCGAACCTCAGCCAGAGACACCCTGGCTGCGTGAAAACCTCAACCGTGTCCACATTTGCGATCCGTTGTCTTGTGGTTAAAAACATATCAATAGTAAACGCAGAAACAGATTCCTGCTCATGTGTGATCCGCCCAACCAAAAACCGGCCAGCCCTGGGTCATGGGACTTGTCCAGCAGTGACGCATCCCCAGAAAAGAAAACAAAACAAAAACAATGTTACGACAGGGGAAGATCCAACAAATATTCATAAAACAGGGGAAGATCAAACAAATATTCAATTCAGCAGATTTGGAAGACTAGCCCCCCAACACGCCCCCCCTGGAACGCCCCTAGACCGCCCCGTTCCGCGCTGGGCTGCCCCGACGCTCTGCGCCTTGCCTGTGACAGCTCGCGGGGCTGCGGTGCAGGCGCCTAGCGACGGCTCTGGAGGCATGTCAAGGTCCTCCAGTAGAGAGGTTAGAATAAGGGTAATCGTTTTTTTTCTTC